TTGTGAAAGAGCCCTCTCATACACTTGTGTATGGGCAAAGCTTCCAGTAGCACTACTGCTTGTATAGGACTCCAAAATACTATGTTTTCTATTAGCCATCTGTTATGTCTTGAACCGTTAAAAACTTGATTAAAAGTCCATTGTTTTGTTCCGTTGCAAGCAGTTTTGCAGCCTTTGTGTTCCATAGAGGTTCATAATTTAGCTCTCCACAACAGCATTGGGTATATTTTACAATTAGTTGTTTTAATTTTCTATGCCATTTGTTTCAGTGATATATGTAAATTTGTATATACATAAATATCTATATATATATATAAATCTGTAATTTAGCTGCTGCAATGCAATACTTACGACTGTATATATAAATCTGTATACACATAAATATCTGACTTTTTTAGAAATATAAGCTGCTGTAATGCTTGTGGTGACCTTATATTGTAATATGTCATCTATCAATCATCATAACACAAGTGCTATAAGGTTGAGTAAACTGATCCATCTAGGCATAAGAGTTCCATTTATGCTTTAATAAACAGTCTGTTCACGAATTCATGTATTATTGCATTTAAATGGAACAGAAAATAGAACCTCATAATATATATATATATATATATATATATATATATTGGGTATACACATGGCTTTTTTTGTATGTAACTTGTGAGGTGACCATGTATCTCTAGGTCGTTTACTTGACCATGCTTCAATTTTTGGCAATAGTGATTTGACTTTTTGATCATTTTACTTTACTTTTCGTTTTAAACTAACCATCTTCCGTTGCTCGATTCAAGACTCCATTGATCCACTCGGTCGAAGTACTCCATCTATTCACTGGATTCTTGCTTGATTTCCAGAAAGCATTTTGCTCCTCAATCGTTTGTTGCTTGATTCAACAGAGGTAATCCATTTCTTTTGTATATGCTTTATCTACTTGATTCACTAGAGATACAAGTTGTTTGCATGATTCGAAGATAACATAATATATGTTTTCTTATTACTGCTTAACTATTCCAGTTTGCCTATTATTTTTAACATACACATATATTTATATATTTCAAATAGGTTCTGATTAGTGTAACAAACTTGTAGAAATGAACACCACATATATTGTTGATGATTTTTCAATGTTAAACGAAGTACATGTACGATGGAGCTTGACAAAATTTCATATGGTTTTCGTTTGGGAAGATGTTAGGGAAGAAATAATACTCATTTTTCTAATTGATCAAAACTTAAGTTAAAAATATTCACAATTTTAATTGCATGGTAAAAGAAATTTAAATCTATTTAACATTTATTTTATTATATTTTAGAGGAGAAAGATGGTAGAAATTGTTCATCATCACCCTTTAATTCAAATATACAAGCAAATGAACTTGGTGGGAGGCGTTTTCTCTTTGAATCGTTTCGCAATTGAATACAACAATGGTGATGTGAGGAATGAAGGTTATATGCTCACCTTCAATGAATTTTACATCATAATTTGCCGAAGCACAACCTTAATTCCATTGTTGGGGGATGTCGAAAATGGCTTTCCGTTCTATCCGTTAGTGCCTTCTATAAGAACTCTTGTAGAAGATCGGAGTACGCGAAAATTCGTGATCGGCACATCTAAATTCTTTGATACTTTTGTATTTTTAAAACAATAAAATCATGTTTGATAACCTAAATCTAATTTTTAAGATTTGATAATTTTTGTTTTAGATGTTGTTGGAAAAATCATCTTGGGTCGATGTGTACGATCTACCCGAACTCATGGTTATTTGCGATTTGGATGCTATGAAATATTTCTCTCAGATAGACCGTAAATGTGTATATTATTAACCAATTAAGAAATTATAATAGTAACTAACATTTTTATTGCTCATAATAGGGGAAACATAATAAAGATGAGGTTTTATGATTCGACACGATTCAGTTTTATGGAGATAGCTCGTGCAATCGTAGATAATTCTATAATCTATGCATCTCGAGTAAACTCATCCATTTGCCTACTCGTGCACCTCAAAGTACGTAACAAATTGTTTTTGTTTTTAAATATTCTATATTATTATTTACATATTCTATTTTATTAAAAATTTATTTTCAATTATTTTCAGATAATTTTTGAGTTCTACGGAGTTAACAACAATCGTGTTCGAACCACACGTGCTAGAAGCAGATGTCGTTAGAACATTAATGACATAAACTGTAACACCCTAGTTTTTTTTATTTAAATGTTTAAGCCTTAAATACAAGATTTTGTAAGCAAATTAAGTACTTTTAAAAGAGTCCAACAGTTGTAGCATTTATTAAACTATCATGTTTATAAGGCAAGTAGCTTACAAAGCTACTTATAAATAAACAACATGAGCCACAAAATCTTATGACAAAGCAAGCCTACTCTTTATGACCAAGCAAGCTAGTTATGAGTTGTCAAGGATAAAAGCATGTGTTGGCAAAATTCATAATGACAAGCAAGAGCTAGAAGCATGACAAATAAAAGTTAGAAGCATGAGGTGTTAAGATTCTTTTATATTAAGCATGGGGTGTCAAGATTCTCTTATCCTAAAAAAATGAGGTGTTAAACTATCATAAGAGTACAATTTTGGGAGCAAGAAGAACAAGTAGCAAATGCAATGAATTTACCTATAAATAGTGATTAAAGTGTTATCATTAGTTCCATACTAAAAATAAGAAATCTCTCTCTTTATACCTAATCAAGCTTGAAGATAGGAATGAAGGGAAAAACTAGGCAAATCAAGGTGAGTACTTATGTGATTTATGAGATACATGTATGCTATATATAAAAGTATTTTATGCATTACTAGTTATGTTGGCATGCTTTGTTTTACATGAAAATATTGATTCACAAACATATTCAAGATATGCATGATGACATACAAGTATACACACAAGACTTGAAAATCGTTTACATGTTATCATATGTGTTACATAAGGCATGAAATTTTTTACATGTTATGTATAACCATAATATCCAACGTACGAGATATTACATGAAGGAACGTTTTGCAAACGAACCTTACAGGGTAGCCTTTTATGGACCCGGGGGTTAGCAAACCTCAAGACAGGTATGGTATACATGCATGTGATAAGTGAGATCTCAAAAGAATGTTTTATACATGATAAAGAATATAATATTTTATGAATGTTTATGCATGAGAATAAAGAATATTTTTATACATGATCAAGAGCTTTTATAAATTATCATTTATAAAATATCATGAAAATTTCTCATTCATGAAACTATAAATACTCACTAAGCTTATAGCTTATATATCTCATGTATGTATCTCAGGAATCAAGGAGTAGGAACAAGATGAAGTGTTGCTATTCTAAGATGTTAGAATATTATAAGTTGTAATTTTTCGCATTTCCGCTGCTGTAATAACTCTATTATAATGAAATAAAAGTTTAAGATATGAAGTTTCTTTCATTCACTCGTACTAAGGGCAAAGGACGATACCCCCGAGAACGGGATGTTACAAATGGTATCAGAGCATCAGTTTAAGTGAACTAAGATTGTCTTAGATTAGGTAACTTAGACTTAAACCGAGAAGGATAACATTTGGTATTAATGCATTATATTTAAAATAACTAACATCTATCTATACTCTATCAAATTATTTCGTTAATTTTTTATCCTGGTCGATATAACCATATGGGATAGTGTCTAGGAAGGAACCGGCTGAGTTGTTGACTTCAAAAAAAAAAAGTCGCAGATTATAATTGGACCGAACAGATCCTAGCTTCCGTGATACTGACTTGGCTATTTCATATTGGTAGTCAGATGGATTAGTAAGAAGTGTTGATCTTATTAAAATAAAAGAGTTGTGGTGTAAGAAAAATAGGTTACAAACTCGCATAACCTTAAAATCTTAAGACTTAAGAATTTATACTTTGATGGAATACTTCACTAAGAGTTTATTCTTCGATGACATACTTTAGTAAAATTTCCTTTATTATGTTGGAAAATGGTGATCAAATATCAGCTAATTAAGTAGTATTTGGGATGACAATTAAATGATCATGCTGATCATGATTAGCTAATTTAGTGTATTATTCTCAATTGTACTCAGTATTGTCCATAGCATAGTAGCCATGTTTTGATATATGATATCAGACTATGTTAATAGTTAAGTAAATAATTCAGGTCAGACTTATTATTGAAGGTATTATAAAACTATGACACAAAAAGATGTTTGGGACATATATATATTGTCATTTCTATTATCAAGAAAGTCTAGAAGGAATTGAAGATAGTCCGTGACTTATTTGATGTTATGGAAACAAACTTGAAGAAATCTTGGTTGATGATAAACTTAAATTCGTAGAAGAACCCATAGCTATCACTGAGCATAAATTTTTTTTAAAAAAAACTTCAAAGAGGAATCAATGGTATTAGTTCATTGGGACTATTCTCACGGATCAGAGGTAACATGGGAAGCGAGTCAGAAATGAGGAATAAGTACCCACATCCTTTTGAGTAATATTTCGAGGACGAAATTCATATAAGAAAGGGAGAATTGTAACACCCTAGTTTTTTTTATTTAAATGTTTAAGCCTTAAATACAAGATTTTGTAAGCAAATTAAGTACTTTTAAAAGAGTCCAACAACTGTAGCATTTATTAAACTATAATGTTTATAAGGCAAGTAGCTTACAAAGCTACTTATAAATAAACAACATAAGCCACAAAATCTTATGACAAAACAAGCCTACTCTTTATGACAAAGCAGGCTAATTATGAGTTGTCAAGGATAGAAGCATGTGTTGGCGAAATTCATAATGATAAGCAAGAGCTAGAAGCATGACAAATAAAAGCTAGAAACATGAGGTGTTAAGATTCTTTTATATTAAGCATGAGGTGTCAAGATTCTCTTATCCTAAAAAAAACTATCATAAGAGTACAATTTTGGGAGCAAGAAGAACAAGTAGCTAATGCAATGAATTTACCTATAAATAGTGATTGAAGTGTTATCATTAGTTCTATACTAAAAATAAGAAATCTTTCTCTTTATACCTAATCAAGCTTGAAGATAGGAATTAAGGGAAAAGCTAGGCAAATCAAGGTGAGTACTTATGTGATTTATAAGATACATGTATGCTATATATAGAAGTATTTTATGCATTACTAGTTATGTTGGCATGCTTTGTTTTACATGAAAATATTGATTCACATACATATTCAAGATATGCATGATGACATACAAGTATACACACAAGACATGAAAATCATTTACATGTTATCATACGTGTTACATAAGGCATGAAAATTTTTACATGTTATGTATAACAATAATATCCAACGTACGGGATATTACATGAAGGAACGTTTTGCAAACGAACCTTATAGGACAGCCTTTTTATGGACCCGGGGGTTAGCAAACCTCAAGACAAGTATGGTATACATTCATGTGACAAGTGAGATCTCAAAAGAATGTTTTATACATGATAAAGAATATAGTATTTTATGAATGTTTATGCATGAGAATAAAGAATATTTTTGTACATGATCAAGAGCTTTTATAAATTATCATTTACAAAATATCATGAAAATTTCTCATTCATTAAACTATAAGTACTCACTAAGCTTATATCTTATATATCTCATGTATGTATCTCAGGAATCAAGGAGTAGGAACAAGATGAAGTGTTGCTATTCTAAGATGTTAGAATATTATAAGTTGTAATTTTCTGCATTTCCGCTGCTGTAATAACTCTATTATAATGAAATAAAGTTTAAGATATGAAGTTTCTTTCATTCACTTGTACTAAGGGCAAAGGACGATACCCCCGAGAACGGGATGTTACATAAACGTATATGATTAGTGTTATCATTATCATGTATTATTGGTCTTTTTTGGATTTGTGAACTTATATGTATCTTTTATATGCATTATTATGTTGGTTTAAGTTTAATCATTGTCTCTTCATTGTCTGTTAATGATATGTTTTGAATAATTAATTAAAACGACTAAGTAAATTGTTAGATACACAATAAAGAATGAGTGATATGTTCGATAAAAAATGTATAAACTTTTATTCAAGACAACCAAGGTAAAAAAAACAAGGATGGCAGGTTATTTTTTGTTCAATCTCAAAATTTCTTACCCTAACTTTGTTCATTCGAATTCAAACATTTACACTTTATATCACAGATAAAACCATATTTTTCCATTTTTATCATTTTACAGTTTCCGATGAGGATGGGTGATGACAAAATTGCAAATAATGATGTAACACAAGTTGATGTAGATATAGCAAAAGGTATATGGAATACTCACTTTAGTTATTATCATCATGATATATTCACTCAATTGTATATATATTTATATAAAAACAATATTACTGCAGAAAAAAAAGGAATACAACAAACGATATTATGAACGACAAAAGGAAAAGAACAAAATGAGAAAAATAGCTAACACTGAAGAAAGTAGTCAATCTATGACCCTGTCGTCGCACGTGCAGTGACTATTGCTGAGAAGAGAAAAATTGTTAATAGAAATTATTATCATCGAAATAAAGAAATTAATATATATAGAACAAGTGTTAACACACAAGGAACAAGTATTAACACACATGGATTTTACACCTTTCATCCATCCAACTATCTCCATTCTTCTCATTTTAAATTCTTTCACACCTTTTATCCATTCAACTATCTCCACTTTTGGTCTTACCTCCGACGTCATTTATTTATTCTTTCACGACGTCCTAATATGTCATGAATACTTGGCCTTATTCTGGTATAAACATCAACTTCTCTTGTTGACTTTCAATGCCTACAATTTATTTCTTCACATTTTTAACGATTTATAAGCCGACAACATTGCTTACGTCGTTATTTCAACTCATACATCGATATATACATATGTCTATATATATACGTGCATACATAGGTATATATTTATATGAAGCCATGCAATCGAGAGCTTATACATGAAAAGTATTTGGAACTATCTGGATGACTCTGCATGCATGAAATGCATGTATGCACACTAATAACTTAATATTTACATGCATTTACATTCTGCCTTGAAACATATTATATATATATATATATGAATATATATGCTCTAACAAGTCATCCCCACGCATGTATATATATATATATATATATATATATATATATATATGCATACTAACTCTTCATGCAAGGTTGGCGCGTGCATGGGTGTGTATATATATATATACCCATTTCGATTTCTCAATACACCCGTCACCCGTGATCCACGTACTGTTTCGAGTAGTTTATTTTTCTTTCTTTCTTTCAAATACAATGACCAATGAGCCTAATAACAAGAAATATCTTGCTTAATAAGCCTAACACAATGAGTTCTCAAGGTACGTAAGCTTCGATCCATCACAACGGTGAAACGTCGGGCCATCCGTTATAAATATACATCGGACCGATACACCCATGAACCATAATTTATATCTTTTAGAATCGATATGAGGATCACCATTTGACAACCTTGTATCACCAAGATTACCGTTGTGTAGAACGGTAGAAGTGTTATTGTGACTGTTGGCACCGTTGCGCTACTGAAACCTACCCGATTAATTGAACAACTGGTGGGATTATCTAGTAAACAATATTTAGAGTACAAAACACTTATAAATTGACGCCAAACTTGCTATGATGTAGAGCACCATCAACTCTCGTTTCAGCGTCCCCCGTCGTCTTTACTCACAATAGTTCCCCTTCTTGACCAAAATTCACATAAACCTACAAACTCTCGTTTTTTACTAAGTCATTGGCGGTTTTACGGAAGAGGAAGCGATAAGGCTATGATAAATGGGCGGAGGTTTCATGACTATTAGGTTTCATGTCATTGAATTACATTCAATTTTAGAGTCTAAACACTTCACTTCGATTGCATTTACACTACTAGTCGTTGCAATTTAACGATTATCAATTCTTTCCCCCCCTTTTTTGGGTTATTACAACTTTCCCTTACAAAATATGATGAATCAACTCACTATATCATTAATACTTTTGAGTTTCTATTATTCTCAAAGCTAAACATATTCTCTCCCCACTAAAGCAAATCAATAGGAGTTTGTCACCAAAACTTTATCCACCAATACCACTCTACATCTATTTTATCTCATCTTACCATGTGTTTTGCATAAACACATATCTATCAATGTCATTATATCCAAGGATATTAAACCATCTAACGACTTCTCTGCTTTAATTTGGTTTAAGACTAACCCCAAATTAACTTAAATCACATATCTCATCATTATAAATCAATCTTTAGTTACACATCTATCAATAATAAAATCTTCCATTCTCAGTTTAAGTTTAGGTTTCAGTAATCTAATTCACTTAAACTTTGCTCTGATACCACTTGTAACATCCCAAATATTTCGAATACTTAAATATATCAAAACTAGTATCCCAAGATCAAACACTTACATTGCAACGGAAATAAAATTTATGATCTTACAAATTATATCACCATCTAAATTACAATCTTGAGGAGCATAATTTTGCTCTATATAACAATGTCTTGATCTGCACATATCATTCTTTGGAGGAAATTTTTATCTTTCTTTATTGTACTTTTCTTTTCACTCAAATAGCCACCTAGGTGAAAAAGTTTTAAAAGAGTTTTGGGTGAGCCTTAGGCCCAGTGAATCCACAGTTTTCATGCATGAACAACAATTTTTACAATAAACAATTTTCACTAAGCTTCATAAATTAAGCATGCCTCGATGATAATAATAATTTTCACAAAATAAAGGTATTACAGTGGGTGACTACATCACAAAGCAACAGCGTCATGAGAGATGTCTACCTCACACAACATTACCTAGCGAACTCACACAGCATGTCCGCACTTACGGCTTAGACAAGCTCATAAAGCATGCTCGTCCTTACAAATCATATTGTAGTACATTCTCATTGACACACAAATACTCAAAACACATATTATAAAAATATTGAACTTTTCACGCATATATAGCATATCAAAAATCTCGAGAAACTTCAAACAACTTGTGGATAATAAGGCATGCAACCATTTTAAAAATAAACCACGTGTAACTCACCATGCATGTCATAACTCCAAACCGTTCCTCGAAGTTCCTCATGTTTTCCCAAAAAAAAAATGCATCAAACTTGTTGTGCTTCACCAAACCATCCTCATCTTTCACCTCTCTTATACGAGTTTCCTTCCTCGAGAATTTGTCATCTCTATGCTTGAAGACCTCCTCATATATATACTTAATGCATGTGGACGATTATGGGTAGATGAATAGCAAGAGTCTTGAATTTAAATTATTGGTTGTTTAAGCCCTTTGGCATGCAATGTTATTTATTTTTGCATAAATGAAAAATAGCTACAAACTTTCACAAATTGATATACAAAACTCTTAAAGATATAAAATGCATTTTTATTTAGCTCAATGAGATTCTTTTGTATAAGGGTTATTACAGTTCTCTCGATTTCTCTCTACTTTCTTCTTGATTTCTCTATGTTCTATCACATTCTATCTTCTTTTCTGTGGCTCTCTTGCAATCCACATATTGTTTTTTAGGTTGATGCATTCATAATTTTACAAGACAAGAAATTCAATTGATTTGTTTGAAAACATTTATTGCTTAAAAGAAACCGAGGACAATGAACACCAAGTTGAGAATAATATCATTTCCATAGGTACTTTTACAAAGTGGATTGGATTTAGAAATAATTTGGCCCAAAATATGTTTGATGATTGGAGTGTTTTTGTTTGTTCTTTATTGTTTGTAGTAGTATAATTTAATCTTTATAGTTTGTAATGGTACCATTTCAATTTTATGGTTTGTAATAGGACAATTTGATCGTTATTAACTTTAATGGTGCAATTTGATATTTAATATTAGATCTGTTGAATAAAAATAACAGTCGAAAATACCGGAATTGGATAAAAATCAAAGACTGAAAACTTGTGGACGCATTAGTGAATATGATAAATGTTGGAGGACATAAAGTTGAAAATGACTTTAAATCCAGGTACTTGCAACATTTGGAACAAGTATTGAAAGTTTTACTTCCAGCTTCTAATATATTAGCTAACCCACACATTTAGCTCATAATCAGAACCATGAAAAAGATTGGCAAATCGTACATTATACCTTACATGGTACAAATAAAAATGGTAGATGAAAATGCAAACATGGAGGATCCAATGGAACAAGAACAACAATTGGATGAAAACATGAAGTATATATATCTGATAGAAGGTAGCCAAATGCCAAGTCAAGAGTGTAAATCTGCTTCCAAGGGTCGAGGTCAGACTTAGAGATAGAATTGAAAAATCATCGGATAAGTTGAAGCTAGCTGAGATGGATTTACATTAAAGGACATCTATGGCTGAGTCTGAAATTGTCAAAATGAATCTTACTTCAATGGAAATGTTTACAATATTGAGACAAATAATGCGTGAACCTAAATCCATGTTAAGTTTTTGAAACATGGAAGGAGAAATTCGAGAAGAGTTTGTTAGGAATATGTTCCGAGAATGAATGTGTTTGATTATTGATGGATTAAATGATGTTTTAGGAACTATGATTTTTAATGATGTATGTTTGATGGATTTTGGAACATGTATTTGAACATACTTTAGTATTTTCGTTGCATGTAGGATTGTTTAATGATGGATACTTGATTGTTCTTAGAACATGTATTTTGAAAAAGTTTATTTTTGGTGGCATGTAAGATGTCAAATGATGTATTTTTGATGGTTTCTAGAACATGTATTTGAACAATTTTAATACCGATTTAGTAACGTTAATTTAGTGCATGATTATATTTGGGTTGTGTATTTTATATTGTTCTACACATTAAATGACT